CTCAGCCGGCCGGGCTGCGATCGCCCCCCCCAACCCCCTCCCCCCGCCTCCTCCATCCCTCCCTGTCCGGCTCCGGCAGCTCCGGCGGCGGCTTCCTCCCTGCGCAACCCGCCCGGACCCCTCCCCGGTGCGCGGGGGTTCCGGCGCGGCGGCAGCTCCCGGGGCCGGCAGCGAGGGTGGGGAGGCGGGGGAGGCTGCGCGGAGCCGCCGCCGCCGCTGCTCCGCGCCGCTCCGCGCTGCTCCGCTCGCACACGCGGCACGGGATGCTCCGGGGACGGAGTTTGCCATGGCAGCTCCCGCTGCTGCTCGCAGCCTTCTCCTGCCTGCCGGCTCCCGGCGGCGCCCAGCTCCGTTACTCCGTGCCCGAGGACCGAGAGCCGGGCTCCTCGGTGGGCGACCTGGCCAAGGACCTGGGGGTGGAGGTGCGGAGCCTGGCTGCCCGCAACTTGCGCCTGGTGAGCGAGGGTGCGCAGCGGCACTTCCAGGTGGACCTGGCGGCGGGCGTGCTGCTCCTCGATAGCAGGCTGGACCGGGAGGCACTGTGTGGGCAGAGCCCCACGTGCTCCCTGCACCTTCAACTCGTCATGGAGAATCCCCTCCAGCTCCACCGTGTTGAGGTGGACGTCCTCGACGTGAATGACAACGCGCCCCAGTTCCCCAAGCCAGAGGTGGTCTTGGAGATCACTGAGGTAGCCAACCCTGGGACTCGGCTACCCTTGGAGGTAGCAGAAGACCCGGATATGGGCTCCAACTCCATCTCCACCTACGAGCTCAGCCCCAGTCAGCATTTTGCCCTGAGTATAAATGTGAGAGGAGATGGGGTTAAAATGCCAGAAATCATACTTGAAAAAGCATTGGATAGAGAGAAAGTGGCTGTTCATCACCTAACACTGACAGCCCTGGATGGAGGGAATCCGGTGAAATCTGGCACTGCCAAGGTTACCATCCATGTCCTGGATGCCAATGACAACCCTCCTGTCTGCGACCCACCCATATCCAAGGTATATCTGGAGGAGAACGTGCCAGTGGGCACTCTGGTTACCAAGCTGAATGTCACCGACCTGGATGAAGGTCCCAACGGGGACGTGGAATATTCTTTCAAAATTAGCAATAACTCACCTGGTAAATTCACTAAGCTGTTCTCCTTAGATCCCCGGACAGGGGAGATCAGAACTAAAGGCCCGCTGGATTATGAGGAATCCAGTGCTTACGAGATTGCAGTTCGAGCCAGGGACAAGGGATCCCCAGCCATGGAAGGACATTGTCACCTGCGAGTGGAATTAATCGATATCAATGATAACAGCCCAGAGATCGTGCTGACCTCTCTCTCCAGCCCAGTGCTGGAGGACGCGACTCCGGGCACTGTGATTGCCCTCATTGGTGTGAAGGACAGCGATTCTGGTGACAATGGGCAGGTCCGTCTGCAGATAGCAAAAGAGCTCCCATTTAAACTGGTGTCATCTTTTAAAGAGCATTTCTCGCTGGTCACAAATGGTCCCCTTGATCGGGAGAAGGCCAGTGGATACAACATCACGGTGAGGGCTGTGGATTCGGGGTCCCCACAGAGGGCCACACAAAAAACCTTTTACCTCCGAATTGCTGATGTGAATGATAATGCACCAAATTTCTCCAGCCCTTTTGATACAGCTCATGTTCAGGAAAATGCCCTTCCTGGAACTTCTGTTTTTTCAGTGTCAGCATCTGATCCCGATGAGGGTAGCAACGCCAAGCTCTCTTACTCCATCTTGCACAATGGGATGCAGGATGTACCCATCTCAACCTACTTCCGCATAGACCAGGACAATGGAACCATCTACACTGTGAGAGCCCTGGACTATGAGCAGGATAAGGTGTTCCAGGTGCCCATAGAGGTGAAGGATGCCGGGTCTCCTGCGCTGAGTAGTACTGCTGTGGTCCATGTGTTCGTCCTGGATGAGAATGACAATGCTCCCACCATTGTCTATCCATCCGTCCCCAAGGGCTCTGCCTTCCACCAAACCGTCCCTGCCTTGGCAGAACCTGGCTATCTGGTCACCAAAATTGTAGCCGTTGATGCTGATAGTGGCCATAATGCCTGGCTCTCCTACCAGCTGCAGGAGGCTGCTGAGGCTTTGCCTTTCCAAGTAGAACGCCGCTCTGGAGAGATAAGGGTTGCACAGGCTCTCAGGGAGTCAGAAGATCCCCACAGGCTGGTGGTCGAAGTGAGGGACAATGGAACACCATCCCTTTCGGCCTCAGTGGTATTGGTCATTTCTCCAGAAGAAAACAGCGTGCAGGACTTCTCCAAGTCCTTGGACCTCCCCAAATCTTCTCCCACGGACACCAACTTAACGCTTTACCTCATCATCTCCCTGGTGTCCATTTCCCTTGTGTCCTGTGTGATGTTTGCTGTGGTGGCTGCCCGGTGTCTCAAAGCTGGCACTGCCAGCTGGACCTTCGTGGGTTGCTGCCGAGGGACTGGCCGCAAGCCTGCCTCCCATTTCCGCGGGCAGATGAAGCCAGATGGCTTCATCAAGTACCTGGATGTGGGAGGAGCGGGCTTGACCTCCCAGGCACAGAATTACACCTCTTGTTTCTCGCCCATGTCTGACCAGAGCGATTTCCTCTTTGTAAAACCTTTCAGCCATTCTAGCACCGCGGAGACTGTGGCAGCCTATGAGCAGGTGACCAGCACCTTAGTGAGTCCCTGCGATGGGGTAAGAGATGGGTCTTTCTTACTGTCCTGTCTACTGAGCGCAGTGGTCCGTAATATCCAGGCTAGCTGGCTGTTCTCTGGCTGTCCTTCCACCTAAGAAGGTGGCTTGAGGGAATGTGTGTCACTGTCACCTCCTGGGAGGTGGCAGGTGAAAGCTTTGGCTTGGCTTGATGTAGATGGGGGAAGGGGCTGGACGTCACTGTAAAATCAAAGACTAGGTGTCTGTAGGAGTGGAGAGCTTTTCTTTGGCCCCGTTCATGTTATTTTCTTTTTAAAGCGATTCTTACCATGGTCAGGAATATGTTTTTTGGGTGCTTAACTTTCTGGATTCTGTTTAACTCCCTTATTCTGCATGGCATATGAACCACGACATGGGAGGAGGTTATCGGAAAGCACAGTTTGTTGTTTCTTTTGTTTTCGAGGTGCGTTGTAGAAATTTCTGATTTCTTGGCTCCCCCAGTGTTATTAATTACTGATTGTGTCCTCACAAGGGTTCGTTTTCCAGTGTGGTTGTTTCTGGTGAGAGGCTGAATTCAATGTTCAGTGCTGAACGTAGTGACATTTTTCACAAAGATCCTTGTGACCTTACATGCCCTTGGGCTTGCAGAGACCTAGGCAGCGGCGTGCTGTGAAAACTTTAGCCACTTGTATTCAGATGCCTAAATATGGATGTAGGTGACTGCATTTAGCTGTAGCTTTTATAACTTCAGGATATAAAAAGGAAAGTAATTTTGGCCATAAATGCCTGTCCTAAATTTGAAAGTGGTAATTACAACAGGAATTAAAAATATAGATTGGGAAGGTCTTATCTGGAGCAGGATTGTGTGTCAGCGTGTGCAAAAATGTGTATCTGAAATCTGGAGGGCAAGTGTTTAAACAGCTTAATTTGCATTCAGCATGGGTAGCAGTGGGTACTCTATTTTAGGGGAGTAATTTATTCTAATATATTCTTTCATAAGAATCATCAAAGCTGTGGAGAAATTAGTGAAATCACATCTACTAAATAAAAATCTAGGTCAGCTGTATCCGTCTTCACTTTTCCTTAGTAATTGCATGTACAAGCAGAATAATCCTATAAAATTGATGTTCCGCTGTACAGACTATGAACTGCTGATTCCTAAGGTAACTAAGAGAAATGTTGTCCTTTCCAGGTAGCATGTTATCACTCTGGACTTAATTAAGAAGATTATGATTTTCGGAAGTATGTGTCTTCCAGAGAGAAAACAGTTCTGCTATTTAGTGCCTTTCACAAAGGCGTGATTCAAACAGGAATATACAAGCCTGCTTCATGTCCTTCCTCATTTACAGACTGTCCATTGTCTGATGGTAAAATAACACGGGCAGAAAGTGATATGGGGGCTTGCTAATGAAGTTACAAAGTGTGCTGCTGTGTCTGAAGTTTATTGTGTCTCCTAAACAAATAATGCTTTTTTTCTTTTGCTGTCGGAAGTTTATTCTTTTCTCTGTGGACAGAAAAATATTGTAGTGGTCCGGGACCACAGCAACTAGGAAAAATCATTCAAATACAGTGTGTGAAATCAAGATCTCAGGGCAGGCCTTTTTCAGGACAGAAGGAGGACAGATTAGGAAGGTTTGTTATCATTTTACCTTCTGGCATTAAAAGCATCTTTCTCAGTATCAATTAACTCTGCCACCCCCACCCCCTCACTCCTCCAAGCTCATTACTTTGGTACCATTGCTCCTGCTGAATTGATGCCCTTATCAGTTTATTTCATGCTTCATTTCTTTCACAGCCTGGTTTCCTGAGCTGCTTTGGAAGATTATTCGCTGAATAGTTTTTGTCATGCATTTCAGTATTCATGCTGGTTCAGAAATACTCAGGAAAGAGGGGGGAATCTTTCTTTTTGTTCTAATTGATTTTCTCTACTTGGAAAGAACACGCTGATATTCCAGACTGAAATAATCCAGGATCAGTTCCCTTTCACTTTCAAAGGCAAGAATGGAGGTATTAAAACTCTTCTGTTTTCTCTGCAGCAAGCTCAGCCTAACACAGACTGGCGCTTCTCTCAGACCCAGAGACCTGGAACGAGTGGGTAAGTGCATCTTTCTCTATTTATGTGTCCGGTGAAGGTTTCTTTCCTTTGTGTGCCAATTTCAGTGCTCTAAAGTCCATAATTGGAAGCTCTGAGGATGGTCGTTCCCTGTCATTGGTAGAATTGTCCAGCCAGAGAGTCAGAAATAGGGCTGTTTCTGTGTCAGCTCTGCTTGATGGTGATGTGACAGTTGTTATTTCCAATGGTGTGCCTGGTTTTGGTGTCTGCAGCTCAAGGGGGACAGTCAGGAACAGCAGGGGAGCTCCAGGTGAAGTTGTGAGATAGTTAAAGGACTGGAAAAATATGCTTCACAGAGAAAGGCTTTTTCTCTCAAGCAGATTTTGAGCATTTAAACTAGATTCTGAGTCCCAGATCTTGATTCCTCCCCCTGCATGGAAGCCACTGGAAACCACTGTATGAGCCCCTTTCCCAGCCATGGAAGCTTGAGCTCTGTGTTGCTGAATTTTGTTGCCTGCTCTGGCTTGACCACCTAGTGTGAGCCCCCATGGCAACCAGAAGTTGAGTAGATAAGCCCCAAAGGCCCCTCTAGAGAAACGTGTCCTAGTCACATCTAACTCAGCAGCAGCAGGTACCTCATGAAATACTACTGTATGAGCTTTCCTCTCTGGGCTAGTTTGGCCAAACCAGGGTTGGGAGCCCTGGATCCAATTCCATTTTTTGGGAATTTGGAACCTTTCTTCCATTCCTTGGGAAGTGCCATCACCAACACGGGGTGGTTCATCCAGGTGAGGAACCCTCTGCACACTTCCTGCTGGAGCTGAGCAATGGGACAGAGGGAGGCTAAGGAAGAAGAAATTAAACCTCATGAGTCAGGACCCTCACAGGAAGGAGGTCTTTCCTAAGGTCTGGACTTGTTCTCAAAAGCATGGCTGAATTTTTGCCAATTTACATGTGATATCAAAAAGATAAGAAGCCCTGGCAGCAAAGCAGAGACCTGCTTCCCAAGTGGGTACCCCTCTTTTGACCGTGTTTCCTCTTGCCTCTGACCCAACAAAGTTTGCTTTTGTTGGCACACAGTGAGAAGGTGTTAAAAAGATTATGTTGAGCATGTGCCATGTGCCTGTCCCATCTCTCTTCCTGGTTCACAGGCAAGGGGTTTCTCCAGAGGGTAAAATTCCTTGAGTACCATCAGGGTAAGAAAAGACTTAAACTGGGAGTCCATCTTCCTCTGTGAATACCCCAACCAGAGCTTATTGTGTATGAGGAAACTGGCTCTGGGATAATTTGTATGTGAAAAGATTATGTCTCGTGGGGCGTGCCCATGGATTATACCCTTGGAGCAACCAGGACAAAATTTGGACGATGTCCTTCCTTGGCTGGCTGGGTCAGGCACCGTATCTCTGTGGAAAAGACAGGAGCTCATGCCTCTGTGTTTTGCCACTCTGCCACTTGGGCAGTCTCTGCCACTTGGGCAGTTGCCACGAAGGTTTAAACAGTGCCACAGGGAGCATCGGGACCTGGATTTCAGTGTTGAAGCTTGCAATTAAACATCTACAGGCTGTGTCTGAGTCTTTCCCTGGGCCTGGCTCCATAATTTAGCTTAACAGAAAGTGAAGAGACTACTATAGCTAACTTCTTGTAGCAATTAAACTTTGTTACTCAGCTTTTCTAGCTGACAAAGGCAAAACAGAATGAGGGTTTGATGTAAAATGTATAAAGCATTCCCACTAGAAAACAGCCATGGACTTCAACAACAAGGCTATTGCTGGGACAGTTTTGTCAGAGCTCTGTTGAATTCCCCATCACCAACAACATTTTAATCAAGAAAAATCTTTCTAACTGTTTACGCTCTAGTTCAAATGACAATTAACTGGAAAGTCATGTTAATGCATAAGCACACCAGAGCAGCTGTAATAGGTTTGCTACAAGAAGTGAGTAAATGAGCCCCATCAGAGCAAGCTCTATCGCTCCCACTTCTAGCACCCTGCTGGAGCTCTTCAAGGCACAGAGCTGATGCACTGCAGCCCTCCTTAACTCAGTGACAGGAACCTTTTCTTAGGTCATGGGACAGTGACCCTCACCCCAGTCCCCAGCCTGAAGCTCTGTATAAGCTCCATCCCCTTCCCATAAGTTGGAGCAGCAGCACATGGAGTGGGGAGAGAGAGGGTGGGAGAACAGGCAGCCTCAGACTCATTCAGGGGGGAGCTGATGCAGCACCATAGGCTGGTTCTGGTACACAAGTTGTGGTGCTACTCCTGATGGTCTGTGGGACATGGGTTCCCATGGTAGTCCCAGAAACAGCCACCAGTGGCTCATGTTAGTTCCTGTTGTGGCAGGGGTTTCCATAGCCTGGGGTGTCCAGGATAGATGTGGGTTTGGAGAGTGTCTTTGCCCAAGCACGGGCTGGTGCCACAATAACTCAGTGGATTTTAATTCCTGTTGGTTTTTCCCACCTGCCTGTGTGCAGATTTCACATTTGCAATGAAACAACTCTTGCTGATTTTTTTTCCCCCTCTCTTTCTTTTAATCCTGCTTTGAGTTAATTCAAGGGAGGTGTTATTCTAAACTGGTGTTACAATAGTAAAGGATGGAAATAGAAAGTGCTGTCATATGTTGAGTGCCCAGCCCTGACATCTCTCTGGTGATTAAGCAGACAAATCCTGGAGAGTAGTCTGCTCCCCATTGTGCTCTTACCATGCTCTCCCCAGCTTTTCGGTGTCTGGTGTGTGAATTCCCTGGGCTCCGGTTGGTAGTACAGGTATTAAAGAGTGTCCAAGGACAGTTGCTTGAGCTCTGCCCGTGGTTACCCTTTCCAATGTTTGCTTATGTACCACTGTCTCCTGATGACAGGAGAACCTCTCCAGTACCATGAGCTTTCTGAACTACAGGGCTCTGCTTAGTGCTTGGGGAGCACAGCCACCTCTTAGCTGAAAAGAAAAAGAAGGGATGTGCTCTTAACTGCATTTGCCTGACCCAAATTAAATAGCAATAAAGACAAGGCATCTTAGGTTTGAATGGCTCCTGGAGGCAGACTGGAATGGACCCAAAGCCAGAAAGCAGGCTTAAACCCTTTGCTATCTTCATCCAGTTGGAGAAGGGAACAATCCTGTCTTTTCTCAGCGTAGCCCTGTCCACTGAAACAAATCCCATATGTCTCCGAGCACCAGGACAAACCCAGGGTAAGCTCAATAAGGCAGGGACCATCTCTTGGTCTTGTACACTGCTGCATTCAGAGCTCTGTCACGGGACAACAAAGACAATTTGTTCTTTGTTCTGAAGCACAGGAGAGCTCTGGTGCACATGCTCAGGAAATAAGAGCTCAGACAATATCCTTTAAAAATATGGTAGGGAGTCAGACTTGAGTAGAGCGATTCTCGACTAATCTTATTTGGGAGAAACAGGAGGATAGATTAATTCATTTAATGATGTTTGTATTTGTTTTCAAAAAAGAAAAAAACCCACAAACAACAACAACAACAAAAAAGCTCCCGTGCTGTCTCCGGGCAAATTTAAATAGAGAATGATACCCAGCAGCAGATGCTATTCCTAGACAAATCAGATCACTACAGATCAGTGGCTGTAGTGAAGATTACAGCAATGAATTGTCCAATGTACAGTCCGGCAGCGGGATCCCTGTGGGATTGTCACCATGGGGTTTCTCTGGGTGGGTGGAGTAAGGGGGGAGAACACAGGGACTGGGACTAGTATCAGGGACCCCTCTTGCTGCTTTTTCACTAGTCACCAAAGGGACAGAGACCGGGCTTGTGCCCTGCGCATTCACGGTGCTTGCCTGGCTGGCAGCTCTTTGTTTTGATCTCTGTGTGGTGGTTAATTCAGGAAAACATCAGACTCAAGTAAGGATTTCCCTCCTGGAGGAGTGGGGAGGGTTCTACATTGCTCGTAGGTGAACACGGGAGGGTGAGACATCCCAGGATGGGAAGAGCTGGTGTGTCCTGGGCAGCCTGTGGGAGGAGTGAGGACACTCTTAGGCTGTGTGGGTGGGCTAGAAGGAAATCCCAGTCAGGAGACACCCCAGGGACTGTGGCGGGGGACTCACAAGGAGGTGGGGAGCAGCATGAGAATCACTGGTAACTCTGGGGGAGGGAAGAGCAAAGCATGCAAAGAAGATATACGGTGCTATTTCACACCCCGCCCCCCAATTTATTTTCACTAAGCCTTACTCTCCCTGTATTACGGGTTTCCAACTGGTTGCAAGCCAGGCTCCCCCTCCGAGGTTGAACACGGCCAATAGTGATGTTTGCTTCACTCACCCATTAAACAGCATCACAGCAGCCCTGCCTGAACCCGGCCATTGTCCCCCAGGCTGTGCAGAGTGAGGAAGGAGAGTGCAGCAGAAGGGATCTGGGGCTGACAGTAGAGATACTGCAGCGGTGCCCACACAAGAGCTATGAAGGAAAGGAGGGCTTTTTCATTCTTTGTTTTGTTTTCACACTAGAGCTCTCAGAGTTGGGCTTGCAGGACTAATGGCAGCCAGCCTGTGCATGGTGGGGGATGAGGAGGGGTAAAAGGGTGTTCTGAGGACAATCCTTAAATGTTGTCAGGAGTGGTCTTGGTGTTCAGAGTGTGCAGATACTGCTAAAGGGTGGCTGCATCTCGAGGGACTTCTGGTGTGTGTTTGGAGTAGTCAGGAGGTCCCACGTGACAGCAGCACCCCACTGTAGCAGGACATAAAGAGTGAGTGTCAGGAGGATGGGGCCAGTCTTTTTTCAGTGGTGTCCGGTGACAGGAGAAGAGGTAAGAGGCACAAACTTGAACATAAGAAGTTCCATCTAAACATGAGGAGGAACTTCTTTCCTGTGAAGGTGGCAAGGCTCTGGAACAGGCTGCCAGAGAGGTGGTGGAATCTCCATCTCTGGAGACATTAAAAACCTGGACACGATCTTGTGCAACCTGCTCTGGTTGACCCTGCTGTGGCTGGGGGTTGGACTGGATGATCTCCAGACGTCCCTTCCAACCCCTCACATTCTGTGATTCTGTGACAAGCTCCTGTCAAGGGGACACTGTATGTAGGTACCTGG